GGAGCGGCCAACGCTCCGAGTGGTAGTTCGGAGATATTCTATATATACTGCTTTAACTTCAGAACTTTGTAAGCGCGATTTAGGCTTCGATATATTTCGCTTATGGCGCGACGACAGGGCCGCCACATCACCCCCCTGCTCAGACCGGAGGTCGATAGTGCAGTCTATATGTCGACGAATTTGCAAGTGCCATGGAATTGCCTTGTAAGTCTGCGGTGAGTCGAGAAGAAGGCAAGTAATCTGCGAGAGTGCCGTGAAGCAGAGGTGAGCAGTAAGGCTCAGAGCCGTGCCAAACACTGTTGCGCAGAGAGTAGCTTGAAGGAACAGGAAGCATTATTATTCCAGCGCTGCGATGAACCTTTGTAAAGCTAGATGGCTTGTAGAATGTGAAGACTGCAGACAATATCTTATCGGGAGCGAATGAATGGGGTACTTGAGGACGATGACGAATGTTTGAAGTTGTATTTTTCCGAAGGTTATTGGTTGCGTGTTCATATCACGTCGGTTGGTCACCACTGTGGCGGGTAGAAGGAAAAGGGCAGATCTCCCGCCGGGCAAGGTGTGCTGCCCGAGGAGCGGCCAACGCTCCGAGTGGTAGTTCGGACCTATTCTATATATACTGCTTTAACTTTAAAACTTTGTTAGCACGATTTAGGCTTCGATATATTTCGCTTATGGCGCGACGACAGGGCCGCCACATTACCCCCCTGCTCAGACCGGAGGTCGATAGTGCAGTCTATATGTCGACGAATTTGCAAGTGCCATGGAATTGCCTTGTAAGTCTGCGGTGAGTCGAGAAGAAGGCAAGTAATCTGCGAGAGTGCCGTGAAGCAGAGGTGAGCAGTAAGGCTCAGAGCCGTGCCAAACACTGTTGCGCAGAGAGTAGCTTGAAGGAACAGGAAGCATTATTATTCCAGCGCTGCGATGAACCTTTGTAAAGCTAGATGGCTTGCAGAATGTGAAGACTGCAGACAATATCTTATCGGGAGCGAATGAATGGGGTACTTGAGGACGATGACGAATGTTTGAAGTTGTATTTTTCCGAAGGTTATTGGTTGCGTGTTCATATCACGTCGGTTGGTCACCACTGTGGCGGGTGGAAGGAAAAGGGCAGATCTCCTGCCGGGCAAGGTGTGCTGCCCGAGGAGCGGCCAACGCTCCGAGTGGTAGTTCGGAGCTATTCTATATATACTGCTTTAACTTTAAAACTTTGTTAGCACGATTTAGGCTTCGATATATTTCGCTTGTGGCGCGACAACAGCGCCGCTACATATAAAATATGTTTGTTCGTCAAACAATACAACCACCTGCTTACTAAAGCAAAAAAATATATCTTCTCGAAGCAACAGATACCCTGAAAAGCTTGTAATTGATACACTTCCTAGATTATCTAAATATAATAAAAGCTGTATATACATGTGTGTCAAAATATATAATAAAAATCCTCAGCATATTATAGCACTATCTTTCTCAAGATTTAGAAAAGGCCTCTATGATCTTCTCGCAGAAAGAACTTTTTATAGCGTCAAAGAATTCCTAGATTATAAATTTGACAAATGAACCACTACGATTTCACTAATCATGGACATTTTTATTTTGTTTAATAATAATTAAGCATTATTTTGACATTTTATCCTATTTAGTAATAATTAATAATTGTCTGATATTTCTATTATATTTAATAATAATTAATAGTTATCTAATGAGTAATTATGTATAAATTTGAATTTCAATGTATCTTTTAATATTTTGTAATTAATAACTTAATAATGAGTAACTGAATTAGCCACAGACTTAAATTTGATATTTGTATGCCTCTATGTAAGCGGTGAAACATGTTTGGCCTAATGCAAAGAAAAGTTTTGAATCTTGAATCTTCAAAATTTCGCTGTCGTATATACCATCGTTAAGACAAGTATCCGTTAACACAATCAAATCAAAGTCATTGGAACTAACTTCAACAAAATTGTCTTTTAGTTTTGTCCGCATGCCGCGAATATTTTGATAATAAATGCAAAAATTTAACTTTACGACTAAAAGTACTAATATCTTTTTGAAATAGTAATATCTAGTGCTAATTAAACTAAAGTCTTTAAAAATTCTTGATGAAGTACCAACTTTGCTGGGTGTTCGTCTCCTTTCGAAGAAAGATTTTCCATTTCTCACCCATATATATTTGAAATTGTGTTTTTTGGCCCATATTCTTGTTATTGCGTGGAGTGATTTGTTAGATGCGTTAGATGCTCGGAGATGTAGACCGGTGACACCTTGTCACCATAACCTAGTAATTTTGTGTTTAACTTTTCTTTTGGATGGGATCTGTTGTACTTGTACACAGCTGCAAGTAGATTGTCACGTTTCAGTTTATTAACGAGTCTGCATACAACTGTTTTAGGCATACTCGATGTCTTGTTCTGCTTTTGTACACGATTACAAGATAAGATATCAGTTTCCGATAGAGCAAAACCTATCACTTTGCCAATTTGCATCACTGTGTTATGCAAGATTTCTTGTTTATGCTCTGGAAAACAGTGTATTTCTATATTATTCTGTCGGGAATCGGGAATCATGTTCCATTATTGATAATCTTTATTCTAAGTCTTTTTCTAAGTCTTAAGCCAACTTTGCGTTGGAGCAATTCACTTTCACAATGGAGTTGCTTGGTATCTTGCATGTAGGCCTCTACTTTAGTCTTCATATCCTCAAATTTGGTATTCATGTAGATCATAGAGTCCTCAAAGCTGCGCATCTCTTTTCTCAAAGATAAGAACTCTTCTCTAATTGCCTCCCTTACTATAATATGTAGCTCTTCTTGCATGATAGTTTTAATGGTTAATCGTAAATTTTCCACATCATTATAAGTGTTGCCACTCCTCCCGTGCGTTTGTATTAACATTACAAATTCCTTCAGAGGGGCTCCCAGCCGTCATCGTAATACTTTTAAATGGTGTGTCATCATTTTTTGTCTGTCGTTGTGCAGATAACATCTCTATACTACAATCAGGTTCGACTTCTTTTTAAAGTTCGCACTGGTAAGATTTACACACAGATAATGAAACTGCTTTTTACAGCGAATTTGAGTACATGTAATTTTTTCAGTACTTTTTAGGGTGTTATTACATCCGCTACAAATAATATTACTCATTTTATTTACCTATTTAACAGCACAATAACGGTCAAGTAGCCAGTAAGCGAATCAATGCAGTGCGATGACGAGTTGCATGCGCGAAGTCTCCAATGACTCACCCACCGTTCGCCGAATGAAGCGATGTAGCGAGCAGCGAGTGTTAAAATGTTCGTTAACAAAACTTTTCAAAATATTTTCGATTATAACTTTATGTTCCACGTGTTTATCACAATACAGTTTTCACTTTTTTGTTAGTAGATATTTCGGCTACAAAACTATAATAATCAAAGCACCATAAATTAAGATTTTACTACGACAGGGAAAATAATTTCACGGTGCAAAATATTGCACGTCTTTCCGTCTAGCGCGCGGGTACACATTATATATACTGTAAGCTTATATTTTATCAATAAATGAATATGAATCACTGGTAAGGGACTCGAGTGAATTTATTACATACATCACTAAAACAAAAACAAGCACACAACAAGACAAGTATTTTTTACTGGCTTCACGGCTCTGGGTTTTAGCCCTTCTGAGCCTGAAGTTACAATGTATAATTATCTTTCAAAGTACACTGCTTCACAATAATATGTTAATGCGACACATTATTCAGCCCTTGGGAGATTTTGACGGCAACTTCAGCCAACAGACAGATGCCAATTGGCGATGGTATCTCAAGGCGCCTAAGCAAATGTCTGTCTAAGATAAGGTGTCTACCTTTTCTTGAGAATCACATCACACCCAGAGCACTTGTTTCACCGTTTCCACTAATAGTTCACATGCGCAAACACTTAATACACAAAATCGCACCACTTTTATATATCAACATCCACTTCAAACCTTTTGTTTAAACAATAATACAGGAGCAGCAATCCGCCGCCGGTCAAGTTCCCGCCAAAACTCTTTTCTAGACAAGGTAACCTACACAGAGTACTTATCTTTATTCAGTGATCTATGATTCAAAACGAAAAACAACTTAGAGCACAGAATAAATAATAAGCAAGCTATAGACCGCGCGATTCAGAATAGTAAACACGGGTATAAACCTTAGACCATTTAACCCAATGGACTTGCCTCGTCGCTTGATTATTCCCATCTGCCAAGGTATTGGATTTAAAAATCTTGTGCGTTTATAAAAACTGTTTACGGAATCGATTTTATCATTACAAGAATCGTTTCCGCCGAAGTAGGTGCTCTTGAAAAATGCCGATCTGTGCGGTTAACGTGTGCATAAAGCAGTCAAGTACCAGTCAAGTACTTAAAATGACTCCTTTAAACCATATACCTAATACAAGTGGGGAGGACGGTATAATTTCCATTCAACTACAGAGGGGTATCGATATCCTTCTTCTTTATCTGGTGAAAATCTTTAGAGCAAGTTTGCATGGGGATATATTCCAGACAATAGACAAAGTTCTATTTATACATAAGGCTGGTAGAAAGGACTACGCTTTACCAAAGTCTTTTAGACCTATAAGCCTTTTTTCCTTTCTTCTTAAGACATTGGAAAAGGTTATAGATAGAATGCCTATACGCTACAACCAGCATGCTTACCGCAGAGGAAAATCTACGGAAACAGCCACGATCAGTGTTATTGGCAGGGTCGAAAAAGCGCTGGAGGATAAAGAAATAGCTCTTTGTGCCTTTTTAGACATTGAGGGCGCCTTCGACAGTAGCCCCATATCACTGCTGTTTGGGGGCCTGACATCTAAAAATGTTGACCCCACAACCATCAGGTAGGTGAAGTCGATGCTCTCAAACAGAGAGGCGAAAATAGCACTGTTTCAAACTTCGATTGAGGTTGCAACTACATGAGGCTGTCCACAAGGAGGTGTTTTGTCACCCCTGCTCTCTTGCGGTTGACCAATTATTGTCAAAGATTACAGACCTTCGCATTGACATACTGGGTTATGCTGATGATCTTGTGATTATTGCGAGGGGTTTTTGTCAAAGTACTTTATCATTAATCATAGAAAACACCATAAACAACTGGTGCAGGGATAACAGATTATCAGTTACTCGTAATGCTGATAAAACTGTTATAATGCCCTTTACCAAAAAGAGACGGTTGGACAAATTAGTCAAAACAAAACTTAGTGATAAAGAAGTACTTATCATTCTCCACTGAGGTTAAGTACTTGGGCGTAATAATCGACCAAAAACTAACGTGGAACTCACTCGTACTTTTAAATAAAACTAGTTTTACGGATTTTATCGCATATATCCAATAACTTATTTTATATTCCCGACGTTTCGGGTACTTTACAGCACCCATGGTCACAGGGGGGGGGGGAGGAGACTGAGGTTTTTGACGTCCCAATATCATAGTTAACCACGGCTACCTCCTGATTAAAAATTACTAATTTTTGTTCCGATCTATGGAGTATGAATTTAGTGTATCTCTAAATCTGGCAGTTGTATGCTTGGATTGGGATTTAATTTTATTAATTATAGGATCCCAAGCAGATGATAGCACCCAGCCATCTTCTCTATTGAAATTAGGATGTTTTTTGATTTCACTAGCCTCGCGAATCATTCTTGGAAGGAATCGGTGTTCTTTAGCGAGGATTTGTGGTCTATCAAATCTAATGTAGTGACAGGGGCGATCTCGTACGTGTTCACAGACTGCAGACTTCCCGGAGCGTCGATTCTTCACATCAGCTATGTGTTCTTTAACGCGGCTTTTTATTGATCTTGTAGTTTGTCCTATATATGAGAGATCACATTCACAATCAACTCCTGCATCTTGCAGAGGGATATTACACATCACTGATGATAAAAACGGACTAATCTTCTTCGGCAGCTTGAAGTATGTTTTAATGGAAGCACGCTTCAAGATGTAGCCAATCTTGTTGATCGGAACAAAAATTAGTAATTTTTAATCTGGAGGTAGCCGTGGCTAACTATGACATTGGGACGTCAAAAACCTCAGTCTCCTCCCCCCCCCCCCCCCCACGTGACCATGGGTGCTGTAAAGTACCCGAAACGACGGGAATATAAAATCAGTTAATATACGCGAGAAAATCCGTAAAACTAGTTTTATTAAAATGTGTGGTGTTCACTCTTACCTTACCAATGTATGTCATAAGGCTAAAATTGCTTTAGATACGTGCAGTCGCATGGTCGGGAACAACTGGGGCTTACGTCCCAGTATGATTCTATGGCTGTACAGCAGCATAGTGAGGCCATTTCTTACCTACGCCTCCACTGTCTGGTGTAATAAGGCCAACCAATAGACGGAAAATTTTGCTGGTGGTAATTGATTCCACAAGGAAGTTGTGCGAGGGAGAAAACTTCTTCTAAATCGCACAGTGGTGGATCGCCAATCATCCAGATGGTATGGATGGTAACGCGAGTTTTGTCGCGATGTGCGATGGTCAAATTGAGCAGCTGGAATTAGTCCGAACAATTCCTCAGAGCACTCCCCGTGATAGATGCGATAAAATACGCAACGAGATGCAACATCTCTACGCAGTGCCAGTGTATCGAGCCAATCAGAAAGAACTCGGTCGTCGACGATTCGAACCGCTCTGCGCTGGATGCGGTCAAGTGGAAGGAGCTGGCACTGGGGTGCCCCGGCCCAGAGATGAGAACAGTATTCCATGTGAGGCCGAACTTGCGCTTTATAAAGTTGCAAGCGATGTGCCGGCATGAAATACTGTCTCTCTCTGCTGCTCTGCACGCCAAGCTTTTTAGAGGCCAATTTGGTCTTCCCTTCCAAGTGACCACGAAACTGCACACTATTCGATATGTCGACGTCAAGGATTCCGATACTAGCTGAGGCAGCAAGGGGAGTGCCTTGAAACTGAGGAGATACGATAAAGGGGTTCTTTTTAGCGGTAAACGCGCAAACTTCTGTCTTCTGGGGATTGAACTGGACTAGATTTAGTCGGCCCCAATCCGAGACTTTGATAAGCAAAGACTCAACTTCAGACACAAGTTTGTCCCGGTACTCAGCGACGTTTTCCCGAGAAATATTGGCACGGCCGGTATATAAGGCATCACCAGTGCTGTCGTCTGCATAGCAATGAATGCTACCAGTTAGCAACATATCATTCATATGCAGGAGAAACAGCGTTGGTGATAGCACGCAGCCTTGTGGAACACCAGCGTTGATAGGCTTGAAATCAGAGCATGCACCGTCTACTACGACCTTGATGCTCCGATCAGCAAGGAAACTGGTGATCCATTTGCACAATTTCTCGAGAAGCTCATAGGAAGGAAGCTTCGAAAGAAGCGCTTTGTGCCAGACCCGATCGAAGGCCTTCGCTATGTCCAAACTAACGGCCAATGCCTCACCCTTGGACTCTACTGCCTCCGCCCATCTGTGAGTCAGATAGACTAGAAGATCACCAGCTGATCGACCTCGACGAAAACCGTACTGGCGGTCACTAATCTGCTGGTGATCCTCAAGGTACCTCATGAGCTGGCAGTTTATAATGGATTCCATTATTTTGGAGCACAATGGGAGGGACTCCATCGGGCCCACTTGACTTGCTGACGTCCAGGGAGATGAGCGCTTTGCGAACCGAGCGCTGTGTAAACCGCACATCCGGCATGGAGCACTCACATCGCGGGATGGTCGGCAGTGTGTTCCCCCCGTCATATAGAGTCAAGTTGGACACAAAAAGAAATCTTAACAGATCGGCTTTCTCCTTTGCGGCATGGGCCAGTGAGTCGTCCTCTCTGTGCAGAGATGGAAGAGATGGCTGACAGAAGTTCCCTTGGACAGCATTGGCGAGAGATCAGAATGCACGGGTTCCCGAAGGAAGGCGAACTAGCTTCTCGCCAATTCTGCCGATGTGCTCAGACCTTGCCTTGGCAATGACGCTTTTGAAGGACCTGGAGGCGGAGTTATACTTCTTTTTAAGTGCGCTGGTGTTTACATCCCGAGACGTTGATGCGTAAGCCCAGGCCCGGTAGCACTCCTGCTTATAGCGTGATGCTATTTTACAGGAGTGACCAAACCATGGCTGGGATCTGCCTCCGATGGGCACCACAGAGGATGGAATAAAAAGTTCCATACCCTGAAGTGCCACATCAGCAACAGAATCGGCAACAACGCTGGGATCTTCCGGCGAGAAGCAAACCCGCCCCCAAGGGTAGGATGCAAAAAAAGACCGCATCCCGTCCCAATCAGCTGACCTATAGTGCCAAACACGGCGGCAAGCTGCAGATCGCAACTGCGATGGGAGCGTGAGTGGCACCGTACTCCGAATCAGACAATGATCCGAAGACTTCAGAGGGGCATCGACGGAGACCTGATATCCGTCCGAATGAGAGGTCAGCAGAAGGTCCAACAGGGAAGATACATGATTTTCCACATCTGGGATCCGCGTAGGCGAAGTAACCAGTTGTGTTAGACCATATGCCAAAGCAAAGTCATAGACAGATCTACCCGCATGATCGGTTAAACGAGAATCAGGCTGTCCAAGGGAACTTCTGTCAGCCATCTCTGCTATCTCTGCACAGGGTGGCCGACTCACTAGCATATGACGCAAAGGAGAAAGCCGATATGCTAGGCTCTCTTTTTGCTTCCAACTCGACTCTAGATGACGGGGGGAACACACCACCGACCATCCCGCGGTGTGAGTGCTCCATGTAGGAAGTGCTGTTTACACAGCGCTCAGTGCGGAAAGCACTCCTCTCCCTGGACGTCAACAATTCGAGTGGGCCTGATGGAGTCCCACCTATTGTGCTGAAGACGTGTGCTCCGGAGTTGGTACCGGTTTTGACGCGTCTTTTCCGGTACTCCTACTTCCTAGGAGTAGTCCCGAACTCATGGAACACAGCTTTGGTGCACCCGATCCCTAAAAAAGCGACCGCTCCGATCCTTCCAACTACAGGCCTATCGCTATCACCTTGTTCTCCAAAGTAATGGAAATTATTATTAACTACCAGCTCATGTGGTACCTTGCGGATCATCAGCTGATTAGTGAGCGTACAGTTTCCGTCGAGGTCGCTCAGCTGGCGATCTTCTAGGTTACCTAACTCATAGATGGGCGGAGTCAGTAGAGTCCAAGGGGGAGGCGTTGGCCGTTAGTTTGGACATAGCGAAGGCCTTCGATCGGGTTTGGTACAAAGCGCTTCTTTCGAACCTCCCTTCCTATGGGCTTCCCGAGAAATTGTGCAATTGGATCACCAGTTTTCTTGCAAATCGGAGCATCAAGGTCGTAGTAGACGGTGCATGCTCCGATAACAAGACCATTAATGGTGTTCCACAAGGCTGCGTGCTATCACCAACGCTTTTTCTTCTGCATATCAATGATATGTTGCAAACCGGTAACATTCATTGCTATGCAAACTACAGCACTGGTGATGCTTTATACACCGGCCGTGCCAATATAACTCTGGAAAAATTCGAGACTTTTTTGAACAAAGTCTCAGACTGGGGGAGACTAAATCTAGTCCAGTTCAATCCCCACAGTTTGCGCGTTTACCGCTAAAAAGAATCCCTTTGTCGTATCTCCTCAGTTTCAAGGCACTCCCCTTGTTCACTCAGCTAGTATCGGAATCCTCGGTGTCGACATATCAAGTGACGTGGAGTTTCGTGGTCACTTAAAAGATAAGGCCGAATTGGCGTCTAAAAAGCTTGGCGTGCTCAGCAGAGCGGGACAGTATTTCATGCCGGCACACCGCTTGCAACTTTACAAGGCGCAGGTTTGGCTGTTCCCATCTCTGAGGAGGGGCTCTCCATTGCCAGCTCCTTCCATTTGACCGCATCCAGCACAGATCGGTTCGAATCTTCGACGACCGAGTTCTCTGAGGAATTGTTGGGACTAATTCCAGCTGCTAAATTTCACCATCGCACATCGCGACAAAACTCGCGATACCATCCATACCATCTGGACGATTGGCGGTCCACCACTGTGCAATTTAGAAGAAGTTTTCTTCCTCACACAACTTCCTTATGGAATCGGCTACCACCAGCGATTTTATCGGACTGATCCGACTTAGCGACCTTCAAGAAAAGAGCCTACTCCTTATTAAGAGGCCGGCAGCGCATCTGCAATTCCCCTGGTGTTGCAGTTGTTCATGGGCGGCGGTAGTCACTTACCATCAGGTGAGCCGCATGCTCATTTGCCGCCTCTTCTATAAAAAAAAAAATCAAGCTCCGATTTGCAATGTGGTAAACTCGGGACTAATATATGAATGCTATCAACGACTAAATAAGGTATGTAAACACAACTATGTGACTCTGCAATGGATAAAGGGCCACAGTGGATCCAGAGACGAACTGGCCAGAATAGGATCTGCTCCGGCCACTATATAACCGGAACCAATCATATCAATCTCCTTTGCTACAGTTCCGTCACTGCTATGTAGAACCTATCAAAACGCTCAGCTTTGGAAAATTGTAGTAGACTGTAGACAAGCTAGGGAGGCCCTGACTGAAATAAACAGTCGTTTAACCAAGATTCTAATGTGCCGCGAGCAGGCGCAATTAATATAAACATTATATAAAAAATTATCTGTAAACAAAATAAATGAACTCAACATAATATCATGTAGAGATTTTTCAAACAACCCCTTTTCTGCCAAGGTCAAAATATATCCATATGTTTTTAAAACAAAGGTGCGAAGTTCGTAGGATATAAATTTTGTATTATAAGAATCACATCCCAAACACCTGTACGTAGAAGTGTGAAATTGGAAATATAGGTTATGTAGGCATACAATAAGAAAGGATTTTTGAAAATTTAAAACAGGGTTAAATAGGCTGTTACAGTTTTTATGAATCTTTTTTTGGTACGGGGCGATTGACTTGAAACTTGCCGAAAGTACTCTGTAAATAAAAGAAATGAATGTATGTATTTAGCCGTTTTAGTAAAAAGAAAATTAATTAATGATGTTTTAATTTAAAAAGTAGCTCAAATGCTCTTTAAAATTATAACTTATCCGTTTTTTCCCTAAAAATATTTTAAAACGAAGATCAAAAGTTAGTTATGTGCATCTTAAATTGATGCTAAACGAGATAAGATTTTATATGTATAAGTAATTAAAGCGATTGAATCGAATATTACGTGAAACTTACACAATATTCGAATCAATTTTGTACACAGTCCAGAACTTGGGCATAAAAGCATGTCTTTTATAACATGGGCCGATCTAAAGCCAACTATCAAATACAGAGATTAAATGTTTTCGATAAGCCATATACATTCAATGAAATACCCGCGCGATTTGAATTTGATATTACATTTATCTACATAATATACACATATAATTCTATATTATATATTATTTAAGACTTTAACTAGCCTGAATGACCTTGACGAAACGGCGTCGCAGAGATTTTAGCCGATGTCAACACCGTCTAGCAACTACGTTCTGTATTACTTATAAAAGTGCAAAGATTAATAGACTGCAGAGATGACAATTATATAAGTGACATACTGCCTGTTATGCTTGCGCATCACTGAGAATTATGTCGCGGTTACGCATCTTCAATTACACTGTGCTGTAGCTTTGTCCGGTAGGCGTCACGAGCTATCAAGTGTTCAAGTTTCAAGTACGTAAGAATTTTTTGTTATATATATTAAATTGTATTTATTTGTATCGTATTAATAGATATGGGTCAAAGCGTTCGCTGTAAATTTTCCCGGATTTGATCCCCGACAGCACGAATGAAATTTGTAATTGCAATTTTCGTCAACACGCATTGGGGAAGCACGGCGGGCATTTCCTTGCCCTAAAACCCTCTCAGAAATAAAAAAAGAGTCCTTTGCCCAGTAGAGGGACTTGTATAGCCTATTACTTTACTTTGTAGCAATATTTATATTCGTTTCAGATATAGAAGGGTACCTTATGATGACAAAAATATCATGTGGAGGCGACGAAAACGTAAAACATCTTTGTACCTAGATAAAACGTTCGAAAGATTGTCAGTCACGTCATACGCCACATTTTCTATAGAGCGTAGAACATTGCAGATAGGGCAAAATAAAAAATAATCCAAAATATTATGGGAACTATTTATCAATAATATTATACATTTATAGGTATTTATAATAAAAATAATGAACAAGCTGCGAGGTTCAACTAATAATGTTTTCTGTAAATACAATCGTAAAATTCCTGTTTTAATTTTTACCAATGGTTAATTGATGAAACTTAGTCAAGATCACTTCATATAAAATATATTTAATTAAAATTGACACGTGACCTATTTGGCCTTCTACTTACAACTCGGCGGAAATTTGAAAAGAAGATTTTGTCTTTTCACACAAGTATTGTTTACAACTGGCGTGGTTTCGAAAAACGTGATTAAGTGTCAGCAGTATATAATCAATTAAATACTGAACTTTTTTGAAATTTATTTTTTTGTTTATTTTTGTTATATCTTCTTAAAAACTGACGCCATCTCACTATTTTCTTATTTGTTTTTTTTTGTAACGCATAAGGATAAGTTAGAATAAGTTAGATTAACTTGGATAAGTTTATAATTTTTTTAATTTTATCACAAAATTTCCGCAATAAATTATTACCTTTTCTACAGTGATTCTCTCCTCTTAGTTTCGGCGTGACTGTAGGATGTTATAGTGAGTCACCGTCAGTTACTAAGCGGACATAAATCATTTTATGTATGTATAGACATACATATATACATTTTTTGATTTTAATATTTATGTTTTTTTGAATTTTAATTGAATTTTTGAAACCTGGTATAATTATTTTTTTCCATGCCAATTGATGGGCCTGAGTATAATGCCAGTTATGCTCTTTGGCTGAAGTTATTTTTTATTTTATGCTCAATTGCAGACAAAACAATATTGATTGCGCATTTCTAAAACAAAATTTTACCTCTTCTCCTTCTAATAATAGCTCCTGCACCTAACACGGCGGAATAGTTATTATTATCTATAAGACCATTTGCGGAAACAGTTTTTGTTAACAGTTATGAGTGTAACATTTTATCAGCTGCATTGTTTATAGTGCCTTGAGCAACACTTTGCCAGTTTCTGTACAGAAAATGATGCTGGCTTTGCAAATATGGATGGCCGCTACCATTGAATATAATACCCGCTATGTTACACTTATTTACTTAGAAACTTTAATTATCATTTGCATAAAATTCTAAATAGCACTTTTTACACAAGAAAGTAAACTTTTAGATCAGTCCATCTTGTTTTTCACTAATTAAGTAAAAAGTAAAACAAACCAATAGGGCCGTGATTTAAAATTTCTTGCAACTTTTTATAGAAAAGCATGACCTTATCATAATATAAAAGTCAATCATTTAGCCATGTGATTAAACTTTTAAGTGTGCCAGTCAAATATTAATGATGATATTCGGGACATTATACTGGAAATAGTCTTTTAAATATTTTGTATTACAATTGATAATCTTCAGTATGATTGACCGTGTATATGACTTTTATAATTCTATGTTATTTTTGATGAAAATTATTATTGCAGATAAAAGCCCTTTCACATTTATTTTAGTCTCGAATTAAATTAATCAAAATGAAAATAATAACTTTGGCTCTTTATAACTGATCTTTAAATGTAAAACACTGACTTGAAATTATATAATTATTGGCATTTTTTAATTCATTAAACTTTTTTAAGATTTTGTTGAAACTCTACTGGTAAAAAAAAACTAAATATATATATTATAGTTCTTGATGAAAATAATGTATGTGCGTTCCATCGCATCCCATCAAGAATTTCTAATGTAATTCTTGGTGTAAACTAAGACGTGATAATAACAGTAAACAATAGAATAACAAAATAATGAAAACATTTGTAAATACTTGCTTTATAACCTAATAAATATTATTTGACCGTAATAAAATAAAACAAGGTAGTCTTCGGCATGAAAGTAAAAATAAATATTTTCGATTATTTTTGCAATATCTAACAGCCGAATCACCTCGCGATTCTGATCCATCTAAAGATGATAAATTTCAGCAAGCACTGTCAAATTCAATAGGAGTGACAGAAAAAAACGGTTCTTGATATAGAAGGGTAAATAAATTATTTAACCTATAAAGTAAAATCACTTTATTAAAAATCAAAATAGCCCAATAGCTTTATTAACATGAGACAAATAATTGTACGAGTGCTTACAATACTTAACGTTATTTTACTGAAATCTCAGAAAGTTGTTTTTTTAATAGAATAAGGGTGACAAACAAGCACACAGTCCACCTGATGGTAAGTGGTTGCTACGGCCCATAGACATCTGGGCCAAAATTCTTTTCTATGCCTAATTAGAGCAGAAGATTTTATAAAATAATAATAAATTGAAATTAATATTTTCTTATTTTTGAATGTTGATTTAGATTCGTAATAGTTTGATTTATAATAACGATACATCTGCAGCGATGATTTTGATGATTTAACTATATTTACGGCAATTTATACACTAAGCGGTCGAAAAGTTAAACATCAGCGTTACTTTACTACATATTTAATATTTATTAATAAATTTCTACAATTAGTCCCACTAATATGGCAGTTTTAAACCTTTGAACTAATACTGATCTCTCATAAAGTTAAAATCACAAAAATAATTAGTTCCATAATTTTTTTTCAATTGTTTATATTACTGCGTTAACAAAGTCCTAATTAAAAACTTTAACTTTTCGAATAAAAACAAAATAAATACAACATTTAATAGAAACTGGACACAGAGGCTTTAATTTATGATGAACAATAGTTACGTATTAATTTAAGACATTTTTAACTAATCAGAAGCTTGTATATTACTGTAAATACTGTAAAAAAATTGGGGACAGGTAAGTAACGCAGTGGTAATCATAGTAACACAGTGGTATTTCACATACAATATTTTGGACAAACTTTCTAAGGAGATCTGGTTGATTAGAAAACAAAATATAAAATAAACTTTTATAACTTGACATAATATAAAATAACTCAAAAAGTCTGGTATCATCAGCTAAATTAAAACTAAAAAATAGTGTTCTCTCTCATCAACTAATCTCTTTCAGTCAGTTGCACTGAAACAAATTAACAAACGAAAATCAATCTTAAAGAACTAATAAAGCACATTTTCTAATAAGTCTTATTTTTCAAAAACGTTCAGTGGCTTATCAAAATCATAGTACCCGTTTACTATCCAGTGTAATTTTTGGGTTAGGAACAATTTTCAACATATTATCGTAGGGTCGTAAGAACTATCAGTTTTTTGCCAGTACTATCTACAGTCGTATAAAACATAATCTTGACTTCTCCCTCTTCATCTACATCACTTTTAGAGACACCTAGGTAAGCATAATGTCTGTTTTTAACATTGGAAACTTTTACTAAAACATGAACTCCGTCTGATATTTTTAATTGATTAACATTATCCTTTTTAATTAGCTGGCTTTATTTTATGTTAGAAACTGATGGTTAGGCAAAGTTAGCAATAAGCTCGTTGTCAGAGCTGAAAGCTGAGGAATAAACCGTATTAAAGTAAGTTCTTTTAGATACGGCAACAATATTAAATATGTTAGATAGGGTTTCTTCGTCGTTCAATCTATCCGTATAATTGGTCATTCTGATTGTGTCAATGACGGGAACAGCAACTGGTTGATATGTTTTTTGAATCATGCAAGTGCAATACCCTCTTTGGCAAAATCAACTACTGTCTGTTTTTGTTTCACCTGATCAATGCCCAAAGCCTCACGCACAATATCAGTCTTCATTTTTGAGTTTGAAATGAATTTTCCTTCAAAAAATTCGTTTCAAGGCTACCTTTTCTTTTACTGTCTTTAAGCTCTTGTAATGATCTTTGATGGCATTGGATAAGGTAGAATATTTCTTATGTTGAGTACCATTGCTTGACTTTTTAGCTCTTTGGCATCTTTTTTTTGTATTTACTACACTTTCTTGTCAGTTCTTCCAGGCATTCCTGGAATTTTAGTTTTTTTTTCTTTATAATGCAGATTTGTCTCGTCGTATTTGTCTTCAACCTCTAGACCTAGGTCAAACTAGAGTTCCCGAACGCGGCATGAAAGCCGGACATTACGTCCGTAATTTGTTGAGCAACTTTTTGACGTTCTCATCGTTTCTTATCCGCAGGCTTTCATTTACGCTTGGCAGCTCTATGTTTTCGCTCTGTTATATCTTTTACTAGTGTTTTTTCGTGTGGTACCTCTCAAGCTGTTTTCTTTTGGCTTCAGCATTTTTATGAGCTCCTGCTTTAACCTAAGCCTATGCGACGTTACTTTTCAGCGTGTGTCAAAGCCATTTAGTGTAAAAGTTACTTCCTGAAATAAAAAGAAGTTAATTATGGGTATTTTGGTTATAACAATATATAACTAGCCTAAATAATACACTTAAAACAACTGCGTTACTTTTTACGGTATCGAAGTGTAGCAGTAACGTAGTTGTAAATATTTGATTACATCGTTAATGTGCACTTAATGGAAAAACAAAATGCAGACATTTAGTTACTGTCATAACCGATACCTAATTAATTATGTTTGAGTTTAGTTATAATGCAAATATCGTCAGTACTTACTATTCGACGGCGGTAACTCAGCGGCCACGCAATAAACACACGCACCTCTCCCAACAACTGTGAAGCGATTGATTCGGTTAGCGAGGTCCCCCCGCGCAGCGGCTATCATTAATTTTAAGAGT